CGACCCCACCCCAGCCCCAAGTCCCCCAGGAAGGGCCCCCCGTACCCGCCCATGAGCTGGCATCCGCTGATGCCCCCCGTGGTTATGGATCTCTGGGAGCCTGGAGCAGGGGGGATGCAGTACGGGTACCCCATGGAGAGATGCTTGGACTGGCCGGCACAGGCACCCCAGTACCTGGCACACAGGGTGGTGGGAGGGACCCCAGCAGGGTCACAGTCCCCTCTTCAGCTCCTCTGCCCCACTCCAGCACCAGCCTCAGTTGCCCAAGCCGGGGCGGAAACGTCCCGGTTGTGTAAGGGACAGGTTCCCAGCCCTTTGCACAACGATGTCCTGGCACCGCAGCACCGGGGGGGCATGGGGAGCCCCGGGTACCAGCACCCTTCAGGGCAGGGGCCACAGGGCTGGCTCGGTGGCAGCAAGGGGCTACCCAGGGATTATGCAGTGATTTCCTCCCCTGGGGCTCAGATCAGGGTCGGGAAGGGGGTGGCCTTGTCCCCAGGTGGGACAGACGCTGCATGGAGATGCCCACACTGGGGAAGTGGCAGTGGTTGGGTGGCTGTGGGGACCAATCCCTTTGGGTCCCCTCTGGGGACATACAGGATGTCAAACTCTCTGCAACAGCCTCTTGGGCAACAGCTGCTCTCTGGCCTGGAAGCAGGTTACCCACAGCTCGCTGAGCTCAACTGGCACCACAGATTTGGCACTTAGGTGGCGAGCCCAGGACCCACCGTCCCCAGAGATGTGCCCTGGCCCTATTCCACCGTCCCCCTCCCCATGGCAAAGAGGTGCCAGACCTGGGTGACCGTCCTGGTTTCAGCTGGAATAAAGTTAATTTTCTTCCTAGTAGCTGCTGTGGTTTGGAATTAGTATGAGAATAATGTTGGTAACACATATTCTTCTAGTTGTTGCTAAGTAATGCTTATAGTAAGCCAAGGACTTTTTCAGCTTCTCATAGAAGCTGAGAGGAAGCATAGACGGGACGAGCTGGCCAAAGGAATATTCCATACCATAGACATCACGCTCAATATATAAATGGGGGTTGGCTGGCAGGCAGGAATTCACGATCGCTGCTCAGGACGGACTGGGCAATCGATCATCGGGTGGTGAGCAATTGTATTGCATCACTTAGTTTGGATATTCTTTTAGCATTATTATTATTATTTTCTCTTCCACTACTGTTCTGTTAAACTGTCTTTATCTCAACCCACGAGTTTTGGGGTTTTTTTTCCTTTTTCTTTCCTTGTCCCTACTCTACTGGGAGGGAGAGGGACTATGTGAACAGCTGCGTGGTACTAGTTGCCGGCTGGGGTTAAACCACAACAATGACCAACCTGACAACTCCTTTATTGCTGGATGGCCATCAGCCATGAACACCGTCCCCACAACAGAGTCATGGGGTCCCCGAAGTCACAGGCTCTACCCCAAAGAGTGGGGAGGGTGGGCAGCACTTGGCATCACTCCCCTGGCAATGGGGTCCTACCCCCTCGCTGCCCAAGCCTCCTTCCAGCTGGGATCCAGTGGTGGCCCTGTCCATCCCTGTGGCATCGCTGCCCGCATCCCAGGGGGCTGGGTGAGGATGCTGGGGTGCTTGGGGTGCTGGGATTTGCTGGAAGCTGTGAGGGTCAGGTCCCAGCAGGGCTCAGAGGGTGGTGGAGGTGTTGCCAGAGGTGGAGGCGTAGGAGGCACGGCCATAGCGGGTCACTGCATCCTTGCTGATGAGCCCACGCTGTGCCAGGATCTTGAGGAAGCTGTTGCGAAACTTCTGCCCGATGAAGGCATAGATGATGGGGTTGATGCAGCTGTGGGCAAAGCCCAAGACCTGTGTGATGGAGAGAGCCGTGTCGATGCGGTTCCTCCTCTCGCAGGTCTCGGCGATGACCCGTGTCCTCATGAGGGTGTCGCTCACCAATGTGATGTTGTAGGGCAGCCAACAGATGAGGAAGACCAGCACTACGGCAAAGATGACCTTCATGGCCCGCTGCTTCTGGGAGTTCTTAGTCTGCAGGAGGGTGTGGATGGTGATGCCGTAGCAGAAGAGCATCACCAGGAGGGGCAGGGCAAAGCCGAAGGTCTGTGGCAGGGA